CTTTTGAATCGTTAACCGCAATGTTTTGAAATTCTTTTATTATTTGACCGAACTCAGTACTGACTAAAACTCATGAATCTTCTCGAGTTTTCTTTGTTTAAAATTTTGCATTTATCGACGATTCTGGACACGAAATTTATTGTAATATTGTGAAAAATGTACTCTGTGTGGTATGTGTATGGTGGACATGCGAGGTGAGCTGATCATCATGTGAGTAGCCTGTTTACGATATTCAAAATACGAATTTTAATTGCAGTTTGAGTTGCTCATCACCACTCAGCTGTGAAACTGTTTGAATATTGGTCTCACTTCATGATTAGCCATGGCATTGCATACAATAAGTTTGGAGATATTATTTTGCGATGCAGTATCTCTTCGCAGTGCGTTTGATGGATGGATGGAATTGCTGAAGATGACTCGAATTTGGGTTGAAAGGTTGATATGCGGATTAAATAGTATATTTGATCTTTGGAAAAATTATCGCTTAATACACTCAGCGCTGACTCCTATAGCCTTTATATTAGATTGAAATTATTATTTTCTTTGTTAATTAAAGGAGTTCATAACCATTTATTGTGGCTTGATTTGTGTTTTTGTTAATTATATTATCATTTATTTATATTTTTAGGGTTACAAATAATTTTATACAAATTTTTTATCCTTATGTTTAGTCGCACTTATTTCAAATTAATTTTGAAGTAAAATTCCGCTTTGAGAATACATCCAACTTTTAATAACAATAAAATACACTAATAAGAGCCAAACGCGACTATTAGTGAACAAATATTAATGTTTGTTATTGCAGTATTACGTAGGTATCGCAAATATTGTGATCATATTTTTGATCTTTTTCAGTACAAATTAATGAATTCAAAAGTAGTGTTAAAATGAAAAGGTAAATAAAAGAGTAAGAAAGAAGAAAAGCGCGGATTGAATACGAAAATATATAAAAACTGATCGTTGTGAAGACAGGGGGTGGAATTAGAGTGATGGCAAAGGGGGGAGTTGAAGTGAGAGAGTGTATGGGATTAGTTACAGGAAAGGGATAGAGAAATGCAGAAGGTGGAAAGGTGGGAAAAAATAAGGGTAACAAAATATAATAGATGGTATGGATGAGTAAAAGGGGAGGAGGTACCGGCGTATTTAAGAAAGGGTTGGGGAGAGGGGAGATGGAAAAGGGTGGTTAGATTTAGATTGGGGAATGAGGTGAGGGACGGGAGATATTGGGAGGGAGAGGAGGAAAGAAATTGCAGGCTGTGTGGGAGTGGGGTGGAAACATGGGAGCATATGTGGGAGGGATGTAGGAGTTGAAGGATGGGGGAGGAAAGAAGTTGGCAGGAAGTGGTGGGGATGGGGAATGGTAGATGAAGGAGATGGAAGAAGAAAGGAGGAAAGCGGGGGAGGGA